AGAATAGAAGCTCTGGCTTTGTAGTCAGTCAACACGCATTTATTAAGTGCCTGCAACATCCCAAACACTGTGCTGAGCACTGGTTTATAAAGAAATAGGAAAACATTTTTGCTTTCCTCAAAGAGCTCATATTCTAATGGGGAAAACAACATGTAAATAACTAGGGGCCTATACGATATATATAGCCAGAGTAGATGGAAGGTAACCTCAGAGGGAAGGCACTGGGGAGGGATTTTCAAAAGTAGAATTTGAACTGAGTCCAAAGAAGAGGCAGAGGTGAAAGGGGGGGGTGTGTTGGGGAGGAGGGGAAGAGTACTCCAAGCTTGGAAGGGACAACCGGTGCAAAGTTATGAAGACAGGAGATAGTGTTGTGTGTAAAGAATACAAGTAGATTAGAGTAGCTGGATTGTAGAGTGTGTAGGAGGGAACAAAGTTTAAGAAGACTAGAAAGATGCTCTTAAAGAAGGTCTTCATAAGTCCATGAAGAGCTTTAAATGACCAACAGAAGACTTCATGTTTGACATTAGAGATTGGGAGCCACTGGGGTTTATCAAGTAAGGGGATGACATGGACAGAACTGCCCTTCAGGAAAATTAGCTGCTAAGTGGATAATGTATTGGAGTGAAGTTATGAGATCACCTAGAAGGATATAGGCAGGTAAAAAATGATAAGGCCTAGCTAGGACTGTGGTGGAAGGAGTAGAGGGAAGGGGATGTATATGAGAGATTTTGATTAGAAAACAGATTGCATTTATGGGGTGATTACCAGGGAGTAGTCAAGGATGTCACTGAAGTTGTGAGTCTGGGTGACTGGGAGGATGCCTTTGACAGTCATGAGAAAGTTGGGATGAGAGAAAGAGAATGAATTCTGTTTTGGACATATTGAGTTTGAGGTTTTTCCTGGATATTTGAGATTTCTAAAAAGCAGGTGGTAATGTGAGACTGGAGTTCAGGAGATAAATTAGGGCTGGATAAATAGATCTGAGATGGTAATCCAACATATGGAAATTGATAAGATTACCAAGTGAGATAGCATAAAGGGAGAAGAGGGCCTGTGACAGAGCCTTTGGGGACACTCATGGTTGGTAGGCGTGACATGGATGAAGATCTAGCAAGTCAAACTGAGAAGGGGAAGTTAGGTAGATAGGAGAAGAACTAGAGGACAGAATCACAAAAACCTAGAAAGGAGAGAAGATCTCAGAGAAGCTTGTTATTAACAGATGATTAAAAACTAGCTCTCAAAGAATCAGGCTTTGGAAAGGTAAGGAAGCATGAGGATGGAAGAAAGGCAAGATTTGGTAATTAAGAGATGATTGGTAATTTCGGAGATGGCTGTTTCAGTTAACTGATGAGTTTGGAAGCTAGGTTGCAGAGTAGAATAAATAGGCAGAAAATTTAGGTGGCGTTCTCGAGGAATTTTTAGTTATAAAGAGGAGGAGAGATATTGGACAATAACTAGCATGGACAGGAAGATCAAAGAAGGGTTTTATTTTTTTGTGACCAGGTTACATCTTATGGGCTTCTCACTAAACAACTCTCAGGCTCTTGCCCCCAACTCAAAACTTACTCTGGGACCGTCAAAATGTGGGTATGTCATCTCAGCAAGGCTGAGGCTGTGGTGATAGGATTAGAAGGTGTGGCAGCTGTGAACTTGGCCAGATGGACACCAGGATTTCATGGCAGACAAGGAAGGCTTTGGGGCTGCCCATGAGGAGGATTTGGATGAGAGGGTCTTAGACCACAAGAGAGAAGAAGATTTGCAGGAGATCCAGAAGCTGGACCAAGACAATGAACATCTAACCAAGTATAAGCAAGTGTTGTTGGGACCCATTCCTGAGGCTATGGATCCTAGCCACCCCAACGTGCAGGTGAGAGTGGTGTGTGAACAGGCACCTGGATCCATTACCATGGACCTGACAGAGGACCTGGAATTGCTTAACAGCTAGGTGTTTGTGATGAAGGAATGTGTGGATTACAAAGTGGAAGCTCCCTTTAAGGTCAATCAGGAGATTGTCTGTGGCTTGAAATATCTGTCTCACACCTACCACAAAGGGCTGTGAGTGCATGAGGCCATGTACATGGTGGGGCATTATGGGCCAGAACATTCCCTGGTCAGGCTGTCGGGGAGCTTGCTAGGGTAGCTGAGAGCCTGTGATTGGATCACTAAGTGTGAGTCCCTCCTTCCTTTATCCTTCCATTTTGGGCCTTCCTCTGGCTCCCAACAACCTCAGCTCAGGAAAGGGCTGCCTCCAACTTCCTCCCCCTCCAGCTCCCACCCATGCCTAACCCCTTCCTTCTCCTTGAAGGTCTCCCTCCTGGGGACCTAGCACAATTTCTCTACCCCGATACGGATTCCAAAGCACTTGACCTGATCCTCTTCCTCCTTTACATGCCCCTCATAGTCATCCAAGCTCAGTAGGAAGGGGCAGTTCCATCACTTTTTCCCTCAACCCCTTCAAAAGACCCCTTTGTGTCTGTACCAGGTTATACAAACCCTGTCTCTGGTCATCCCCTTATCCTGGTCCTCCCTTCTCAGGGTCTAACAGCCATATTCCTGGAGGAGCCTTCCAGGGACAGGCGGAAGTAGAATGGGATGGAACATGTAGGGAGCAGTATAAGCCTTTAGCCATCTCTACCCACCTGGAAGGGGCTTGTGTCTGTAATGGAAGCTTATCAGAACTGCCTTGTGTCCTTTGGCCTTCACCTCTCACCTGTCACATTTCTGTGGTGGCCTGGCATTGCTGGGGCTCAGTCACCCGAGAAGGGGGTGCTATGCTCCAGCCTGTCTCCCCCTACCCATGCTGAGGGGTTCCCATTCTCTCCCCCAATTAACTTTTGCCTGTATTCTCAACTGTTCCCACTACACTTCACCAATTTCTGCCTTCCCCCAATATGGTCATATCTAGGATTCCCCAAAGAAAAGAAAAAGACCCTCAGCTCTCATGCCATTACTCAGGCTACAGAAACATCAAACATAAGGCTTTATTTGACTCCACAGAAAATGCAAAGCACCCAAATTTGAGTCCACAAACAAGGAAATTCTCTTTGCATCTTCAATAAACCCACCTCCTCCAGGGGTCTTATACCGTTCTGCTGTTGATCCCTCCCCTGCCTAGGGGATGGGAGAAAAGCAACCTTCTATAGTTATCCCTTCCACATCTCCAGGGTTAGGGGCACAGGGCCCCAAGATCTGGAAATCCATGTAAAATATTTTGGCCTTCCTTCAGACCAGAGAAGAAGTCTGAATTATTATGGTATTAAAAGATAAAATATGTTGATATTATACATATATATGTATATATATGTACATATATATATATGTGTGTGTGTGTGTATATGTGTGTGTATATATATATGTATATACGTGTGTATGTATACACACACACACACACACACGCATATTTTATGCATTTCTGAGTCTCTAAACTTTTTCTGTCATCTGCTGGCCTTTGGATGTCTTCTACGGCTTCTGCAAAACTCCCTAAAAATTCCCATTTAACTTCTTACGCCGACCAGCAATATATCATTGAAACCGAGATGGGGAAAGTTGGGATGTGGAGGATAACTGTACTCTGGTAAGCCTCTCCTCCGATAGGAACTTAGTCTTCTGTCTTCTCTTATGTAGTCTTCCAGACTTCTCTGGGATTGAAGGCTCCCTGTAAAAGGACTATGTACTTTGTACTATGTACTTTGGGTACATAGCTATTGACCTCTTTTAAATCCCATTCTTAGGCATTATCTTCTTAACCAGCTGGTTTACTTCTCACCATTACAGCGGTGATTCCTTTTGGTTATGGGTCTGACTAGAAGCAGGGCTTCTTAAACTTTTTCCACTTCCCGGACCCCTTTCCCGCATTTCAGCAGCGTTTGTTAGTGCTGCGTGGGTGTGGTGGCATGCACAGTGCAAAGTGCCCATGCTTTATGTTCAGAACCAAGGCTGCAGTGAAGTTTCAGGATGCAACACAGGTAAGCGCTGCCTGGATTCATTGTGTGTTTGATTTTTAATTAATTTTTGCTTGTTGTGTGTTCAGAAACCTTTTACTGTTGCCAAACCCACAGTTTAAATAGCACTGGACTAGCGGACCAGTAAGGTACCTTCCAACTCTTATACTTTGTGATTCATAGAGACACTTTCTAGGTTTGTTCTGGTGCTAACTTTAGACTCTCTGACTCAACTCAGACATATAACACAGGAAAACAGCCCTCCTGGTTTTTCACAGCCGCTTGTGGTGGAGCAGCATTGAGTATTTAGGGGGGTCAACTGACTTCTGAGGTCCCTTCTTACTCTAAAGAGTTTGTGAGCTATGAAATGATGTCAACTACAAGGCCTATATTATACAATAAGAGGATCTCAGCGTCTCTGTTTACCCACAAAAACGACAGGCTGAATCCATATCACATATAAAATGTTCAGAAAGCTGTTGGAAGAAATTTTACCTGATGCTTATTTTTTTCTTTTTGAAAATTTATTGTTATATATGTTTTTACATTACCTAGATTTCCCTCTGACTCTTTTCCTCTCCCCCTTCCCAGAGAGCCATCCCTTATAACAAATTACTTTTTTTAAAAAGAAAATTGAACAAAACTGATAAGTACATCAAAAATAATCTGACAATGAAGTAATCAATCAATTGCACATCAGTGGATACCCACACCCTCCACCCCTGCAAAGGAATGGGACAAGGTGTCCTCTCATATCTCTTCTTGCTCTGTGTAATTTTGCAACATTCATTTTCACTTGTTTTGTGTGTGTGTGTGTGTGGGGGGGCTTGTTCTTTCCATTTACATTATTGTTGTCACTATTTATATTGTTTTCCTGGCTCTTTTTTTTTTCACTTTGCATCAGTCATGTAAGCCTTTCCGTGTTTCTCTGTATTCTGTCTGTTATTTCTTATAGCAGAATAATAATATTCCATTACATTTATGCTGGCATCCCTTTTTATTTTTTTATATTTTTTGTACCCTTTTTTTAAACATCCTTTTTGCATCTGGTCTTCACAGATACGACTTAAGTCTGGATGAAATGAGAGATTTGACATTTCAGAGAGTGAAATTTACCATGGGCTTACCTCAGTTAAAACGTGCAATTCAGGAACAGGTAAGTTGGTTTGGGGTTTTTTTGCGTGTGATTTTTTGTGAAATTATCCCCACATAGTCTATTTTTTTTTCAGTCAATAATCATTAACTATCTACTAAGTGTCGGGCACTGTGCTAAGCACTGAGGATACAAAAAGTCCCATAAAATACACCCTGTCCTCAAAGGATTCACAATCTAATGGATATAAGTACAAAAAATCCTTACTCTGAAGGTGTTTACATTCTAAAAGGGAAAGCAACAAACACGTATATAAATATATCCAGAATAAATATAAAAAGAATAAATACAAGTATATGTGAAGCAGTTAAATATCAAGTCATTTGGAAGGCAGGACAATAGTATTTAGAATCAGGAAAGACTTGATACAGAAGCTCTTGCTTGAGTTGCATCTTAATGGAATTGACTTTTCTGAGGTGGGGGGTAAGGAGGGAGTGCATTCCAAGAATGGGGGACAATTAGCACAAAGGCAAGGAAGTGGGTGATGGAGTGTCTCGTGTGAAGAACAGAGAAAAACCTTGTATTTGTATTTTCCTAGGAGTAATAGAAAGCCACTGGATATAAGCAGGGGAATCAAATGCTCAGATATGGACTTAGCGCAAACTACTTTGGCAGCAGGATGAAGGATGAACTGAATTGGTGAGAGGAGAGGCAGCAAGACCAATTTAAAGCTTGCTGCAATAAACTTGAGATTTGAGGAAGGCCTGAACTAAGGCAATATGTATCTGTGAGAAGAGAGAAGAGATCAAATGTGAGTCATGTTGTGAAGGTAGAAATGACAAAATTTGTTAACTGATTATATGTGTAGAGGTTAGTAAGCTGTCCAAGATAATTCTGAGATTATGAACCTGGAGTACTGAAAGGATGGTAGTGTCCTGAAGAAACAGGGAGGATGCTATTATTCCATTATGGTGTGGAAATGATGAGCAGGCAGACTTCAAAAAAACCTGGAAAGACTTACATGAACTGATGCTAAGTGAAGTGAGCAGAACCAGGTGGACATCGTATACAGTATCAGCCACATTGTGCAATGATCAACTATGATAGACTTAGCTCTTCTTAGCAATACAATAATCTAAGACAATTCTAAAAGACTCATGATGGAAAATGCTATCTACATCCAGAGAAAGAACTATGGGGTCTGAATGCAGACTGAAGCATACAATTTTGGGGTTTTTTTGTTTTTTCTTTCTCATGGTTAGTCCTTTTGGTTCTGATTCTTCTCTAAAACATGACTAATGTGGAAATATGTTTAATATGACTGTATAGCCTATATCAGATTGCATGCTGTCTTGGGGAGGGGGGAGCAGAGGGAAAGGAAAAAATTTAGAACTCAAAATCTTATAAAAGTGAATGTTGAAAACTAAAAATAAATTAAAAAAAGACACAGGGAAGAGAGGAAGGTTTGGACAGAAAGATAAAGGAGTAGTCAGACAGGCAGAAGGTGAAATAGAAGAGCATAGCATCAGAAAAACAGAAAGAAGACAGCATGTGGGAGGAAGAGAGTGATCAACCATATCCAATGATTCGAAGAGTTAGAGAACCATACCACCTTCTAGTTCAACAATCTTGTCAACTCCCATGATCCACGCCTCCTCAGTCATGTGCAGGAATGTTAGCAGACATTCTCACCATCACCAAAAATGTTTTAAGTTCACAATGAAGAATTCTGAAATTTCTTTTTATGACTATAACCTTTGATCACTGTAGCTTAATTTAGATTAAGCTCACTCTTCCAAAACCACAATTCTTTGCCCTTCAGTGTAGCCACCAGTCCCTACACCCCTCAGTAATCTCCATATCATAAGTCTTAAGAAAGTCCTGGAACTACATCTGGGTTCTTTACTTGTCCATTCATTTTCATTTAATCATACATAATTAGTATGTGTATTGTTCTTTTGCTTTTGTGATTTTTTTTCATTTCATAGCATTTCATAATTGTCTTTCCATATTTCTTTCTATTCCTCATTCTTGTCAGTCCGAATTGGATTATTATTACACACCTGTATTTTCAGTGGTCTAAGGAATTCTGAGGAAGAAAATTCCCTCTACAAACATAGATTAGCAACTGTTCTGCATAAGTGACTTGCCCAGGGTCACATGAGTCTTCCTTACATTGGTGCTGTCTTTCTACATACCATACCACAATGCCTTCTAGTTTCCTAAGTGATATTTTTATAATCTGATCAACATAGTCAAGTGCCAAATGTCTTATCTCTTTCCACAGTGTTTTTCTGATACTCCAGCCCTTTGTTTTGATGCTAACTTAGTTATCTTGCCATTATCTATATATAACCTTGATCAGCAGAGAAATGAAAATGTAATTTAGGGGAATGACATAGTTTTTAGGTGCAAAGTTCTGAACATATGTTGATTTTAACTTCCTGACCATTTCCAAACCATATTGCCTTCACTTCAGCCATCTTCCTTATCACCCTCATCCTTCTCATCTTCTTCCTACTTGAACCTTGGACTCATGCCCTGGGATCCCAGGCTCTGATAGCTGAGCTTTCACCTCACCTTGCATGAAACCAAGCTGCCACATCACTTCCCTGACATTACTAAATCATGTTGCCATCTTGTATCTTCCCTACCCCTTTCACTTCCCCATTGCCCCTTGAGGGCAAGAAAGGTCTTGCTTGTTTGTAATTGTATCCCTAGCTCTTAGCACAGGGCCTGGCTCATAGTAAACTCCTAATAAATGCTTTCATTCATTCATTTATTCATTTAGTAATTTCAGTTGCCACCTGTTGCAAAAATTTTTTCCATATGGACTATAAAATATAAAGCTTTAGTTTTTTTCAGCTGTAAGTGAGGATAATAATACATTTTCTACCTCAGAAGACTGTTTTCAGGAAAGTGCTTTGTAAACTTTAAAGTGGTTTATAAATGTGAGCTCTGATTATTATTTGAGGTGACTGATTTATAGAGATATTCTCTTTGTGATGCAAATGGTAGGAGTCTATTAAATACTTGAAATTAATTTCTATCCTGATCTGTTTCAGAAAAAGTTTCAAAACTTAATTCATGATTCCTTTTTAAATTTTACCTTCTAATGACCTAAACTTTTTACATATTTCCATAAGAAGACTTTGAGTTGACATGGAGTAGAGGTCAGCAAAACCAATTGTCAATCAGCTTAAATCTTTATCCCTCTACCAAAGATGAGTTCCATTTTGGGAATTCCCTTTTCCATTCCAGCATGAACCTTAGAGATCTGTTCTGTCCCCTTATGTGACCACACAAAGGCCAAAGAAAGCCTAGTCTGCTTTGGAGGGCTGATCTGAGGCTTCTTTTGGGTAAGAATGGGATTCAAGTTTGAACCAGATCTTGGAGCTCACCTTGTATCTGTCATAGAGTTGAGCCAAACCCACAAGTCAACCTCAGCACTGACCAACCCTTTTCAGGGTCCTTTTTGCTAGAGATGACTCACAATTTGGCCCAACTTTTTGTGGCCACTTGGAACTGAGCCTACTCCTCTGAGGAGCTTGGAACCAAAATATCCTTGGCCAGGGGATAGGCAGAAGCTGAGCATTCAGAAAATGGTTATTCCCCTCATAGAATCTTGCCTCACAGTTAATTGCCAGGAAGATAGAAATAGAAGGTTGGTGTGTTTTCACAACTTTCAGATGAAATAATCCATACATATTCATCTGGCAAATGAAAATTTCAATCTAGAAGAGTTGAAAGAGCTGGCCAAGGTAAAAAATTATTTTATATGGAGCCAGTTCAACAGTAAGTTAAACAAACAACATTTAAGTACCTACTATGTGTGAGATAAGATGCAGTAGTCTGTCCTGTAGCCTGCACAAATATCCATGAGTGTCCTTATTTCTTTTTTGGTTTCCACATTAGTCTGGACCCAGTCAGTCTATTGTGTGGTCTAGGAAGCTCCCCAGGAGATAATAAAGTAGGAGAATGGTGGGGGTTTCTGTCTGCCACAAGGCATTGATTCTAGTGTTCTGTTAACTTTGCAAGGCACTGGGGATGGAAATTCAAAAGCAAAACAATCCTGCCCTCAAGGTGCTCACATTCTACTGGGGGCTACAACACATGCACAAGAAGGCAAACGATACACACACACATACACACACACACACACACACACACATACACATATACAGTATCTGTATATGTGTATAAATGTGTGTTTATATGTATGTTTGTATATCTATATCTATATATATGGGTACACACACACACACACACGTACACGTAAATTTCAAGAGGGAGAGTGTGCTAATAATTGGGTGTATCAGGCATCCATGCTATACTTTGTAGGAAAATATGTAATTCTACAAGGTGAGGTGAAGAGGGAGTACATAACTTCAAAGCACAAAAATGCCAGTCAACTCAAGTCTAGATTGTCTCAGGTTCCAGGGACCTGTGGCTAGGATCCAAAGGCCCTCCCCCACCCCCACCCCCCATTTGCTCCCATCTGTATCATTTCTCTTATTCACCCTGATCTTACTTGGCTAAGGAAATAGAGTGGCTCCAAGTATACTCAGCGCTCAGGGTCATCAGTAGAAATCTCCGCCTTAGGCCAATCATTACTGATAAAGTCTCCAGCTCCCCTAATCAGCTCAGCATGTCCACAGCTTAACTGAGTGTCAGTAACTGAAATCCAGACATGAAGGTTGATCCTTTTATGCTTCTTGCTAATTGCTGCCAGATTCTGTTGAGCCCACCAGATTAACCTGTACAGTCCCTTACTTTAGGAGGAAGGCTGCACGCTGGACTTGGTTGCTTAATTAATTTTTTTAATTACATCTCTTTTAGTACTCTGAATTGTACACATACAAATACAACTTCCCTTTTACTGTAGCCTTCCCTGAAATACTGGCCACAGTTTTTCCTGGGTGGCTATGTGTGTTCCCTTTGGGAGGCAGAGCACTAGACTGGATGGCCCCTGGAAGTTCCTGTTGGTCTAGAGTGGAGTTCTCTCAGGCTGTAGTTATTCCTTTCCTTTCAGTAAATTCTCAAAAACCAACAAACCAAAAGAA